TGTGCAGAAGACAGAGTCTTTGGAGGATGTAGTTGACAAACTCTAAGACCTCTGAATAAGTTTTTTATGAACTTCACCAAATCCAGATAGAGTCAGTAGTTCATTCCCAAAAGCAACGGAAGCCTCCCAGCCAAATTTTAAATACAAACCATACTGGAGTGACATCTCCTCAATGAGATGGTCGTGAGATTCCTTTTAATGTGGGCAAAAGAAAATATTTTGCCTTTTCCTTGTTTTAAGGAAGATGTGAATCTTTTTTTTCCCTTCATTTCCCTCCCCCCTCAGTTTGAGTCAATCATCATGGGACATTTCATCTCATATGGGTGAAGGCTGGCAAAGACAGGGGCAACTGAGAGCAGATTTATAGAATGGGAAGTGTCAGACAAGCTGAACCATAGGCACTGATCTTCCCCACTTTTCATGGAATTAATAATAAAGCTTTTCATGAGAGCCTGCCTGGGTTAACTCCTGGATGATCACAAGCCTCCACGTTACTAATAATAGCATCATGGCTAAAATATCTCCATGTTTACTGAGTTTCATGTTCTAATATTGTGGCTCTGTTTTGCCCTGCTTTTTCTCTTTTGTTTTCCATTCCCGTCATGCTGTTACACTAATATTTTCCATCTTTGTTCCAAGGGCTGCCATCATTAGCTGCTGCACCACGTGAACATTTGTGTCTCTCCATCAGATTTGTGAGGAGGCTGCTATGGCATGGCCAACTCTTGTGGCAGTGTTTCCAGAGAGCAGATGGTGACAGCTCAGCGCTGTCACCCGAGGCAGCTGGGGTGAGTTCCCTCTCTTGGAAGCATGGTCTGTGACCATGGCATGACTGGAACTGGTTAGAATTTGGGCAAAGAAAGAGGAAATTCATTTTTTTCTAAAGATAAGTAGTTCTGCATTTATTTTAAATTGAGGCAACTGATAAAATGCTGTTGTCAGCCCTCACCATCCAGCAGGAGTAGCTGTTTCTATTGTCTAGAGGCATCACTGCACTACCCCAAGTTAAGTTCCACCACACAGTGCTTACCCTATGACAAAGAGTAAATCTGTGTCATGGAAGGAAACAAGAGAGTTTGCAACTGGATTGTTAGTCCTTCTTTACACCCCATATATTTGGTCAAGCACAGTTTCTACTGGACCAAAATCACTGCTAAAACACAGGAATAAATGTTTATCCCAGCTCTCCACCAATTTTTGAAGCACTAGACACACCTGTTCAGACCAGATCCCTACATTTGATTTCATGGGGATGTAGATACTGAAGGATTCGGGTCTTAATCCCTGCTCCATTTTCTCAGCTGAAAGACAGGAGTAATATTTCTCTGCCATACAGCAGTCTCACAGTGAGTGATTATTTCATATTTGTAGAGTACTTTGGGAAGAATGTGCTCCATATTGCTGATATTATTAACTTTTGGAGCCCAAGATGGAACAGTGAAATGCGTCTGTGCTGTGCAGTTCTGCTGATCTTGAAACCTGAGGAATATTTTGAAATTCTGTCAGGAGAAACTCGTAGAAACAAAAAGAAATCCTTCCCCACAGCAAGAATTTGGGGAAATAATGAAGGGCCATCAGTACATAGTCCATCTTCTTGTTGCAAAATGAATGTGTTTCCAGCCCACATCAAAGCTCTATTTACTTCTCTTGTCAGATGATTTTGTGGGAGTGTTGCAGGGGGCTGGAGCGTGTCGGGGTGACTGAGTCAACTTGTAGAAAGGACTTACTCAGACAGCAGACGTGCAAGTAGAGGTCAGGGTTAGCATGGACAGGGCACAGGGTCTGGTGAGTGGGTGAGAGATTCAGAACAATAAATAGATGTACTGTAGGACAGGAATCCAAACGTGTCTTGGGCTACATCAAAAGAAGTGTGATCAGCAGGTCAAAAGAGGAGATTTCCCTCTTCAACCCTGCTCTGGAGCACTGAGTCCAGCTCTGGGCTCCCCAGCATAGCAGGGATGGGGAGCTGCTGGAGCCAGTCCAGAGGAGGCCATGAAGATGCTCCCTGGGCTGGAGCACCTTTGCTCTGGAGACAGGCTGGGAGAGTTCGGGGTGTTCAGTCTGGAGAAGAGAAGGCTCCAGGGAGACCTGAGAGTCCCTTCCAGCACCTACACGGGCTCCAAGAAAGCTGGAGAGGGACTTTGGACAAGGGCTTGGAGGGACAGGACAAGTGGGAATGGCTTTCCAATGCCAGAGGATAAGGATATTGGGAAGGAATTCTTCCCTGTGAGGGTGATGAGGGCCTGGCACACACTGCCCAGAGAAGTTCTGGTTATCCCATCCCTGGAAGTGTTCAAGGCCAGGTTGGAGAGGGTGTGGAGCAGCCAGGTCCAGTGGAAGGCATGCCCTGGATTATGGGACCTTCATTTTGATCCCTGACCCTGTCTTGCTGCTCAGAGGTCTGAATATCTGGAGAACAACTGGTCTTGCCATGAACAACTGAGGCAAAGAAGGCATTAAGTACCTCAGCCTTTTCCTCATCCTTTCTCACTATGTCTTTTTCCCACCAGGAAACTGTTAGGTATTGAGGCACTGAATTTAAAACTTTCATTTCTGTTTGCAATGGAAATCGTGACCTGGCTCACATCGAGGCGTTCAATATGAAGGCTGAGGTTTTCTTCCTTTTCTTGTTTTTATATTATTTCTGATGATTTCCTCTTGCCTTGTGCTATTTTAAGATGTTTAACTTAGTAGCTCCAGAAGAACCATTCACAAATAGTGTTGATCTGTGTTTTGAAAGTTTAACATACACTATCCAATGCACATTTACATACACCATTGGAATCCGGCATTTGGGAAATTAAAACAACAAAACTTGATTGCATATCATGATTTCATATTTTGCAGATGTTAATATTTAATCATATGCAGAGCCATTTAGCTTAAGTGCATTAATGTAACTCATTTAAAAGAGGCCAGTAATTGTCCTATTAACTCCCAGCCTGGATGTTATCCATGCTGCCCTGCTGGTAAGGCCAGAGGGAGAGTCTCCTATTGGCACCCACAGAGATTGCTCTGATCTGTTGAAAATCCTGTTAAAATCTAATTACTTAGGAGAATAGGCCAGGGAATATCTAATGAGCTTCAGGAAACCCACTGAAAGAAATTCTCTTTTAATACAGACTGAAACATCTTCTGTGTTTCAATTACAGTGGTACCACATGAACATAATTACACTTGTATAGAACGGGACTTGTCTTTGTTATTTTAATTACATATCACTAGATTTTTCTTAGTCATGGAGAAAAATAATTTGATTCCCCATAAAGGTTAAATGTTGATGAAAAGCTGAGTGTTAAAATAAATGTAATCTTTGTTTATGATAATTTCTTCTTTGTTTTGTGAGGAAATGTTAGTAAAAGCAGGTCACTGAGGGAAGCTGACCAACCAAACACATGCTGGGGAAGCCTGGGGAAGGTGGAGACGTTGTTGTACCGATGAGAAAGATTTCAGAGAAGTCTCTGCCAGCATGAAATTTGGCCTTACTTTTGTTATGGTAATTGAACTGTGGACATTAAGCTCACAATAAAATCTCATAGCAGCAAAACAGACTCCTTGTACCAACAGGGGGGACTATTTGCAATTTCTTCCGCTTACAGCCTCTTAATTTTTTTTAATTTGAAAATTCCAGTGCTGACGTGACCAAGATTATCACTGATGGCTTTTTGCAGTGACACAAAGGGTGCTGTTTCTGCCCAAGTCACTGGAACAGGCTCCCCAGGGCAGTGGTCATGGCTCCAAAGCCGACAGAGCTCAGGGAGCCTTTGGACAATGCTCTCAGGCACAGGGTGGGATTGTTGAGTTGTCCCATGCAGGGAAAGGAGTTTGACTTGATGACCCTTGTGGGTCCCTTTCCACTCAAGATATGCTATGATTTTAAGCCCATGGACCTGCATGGCTTCACTTTGTCAGGAAAAGCAGAGCATGGGACTGCTCGTGGATTTGGCCCCTTTGTTGTGGCTGATCCGGATAGCCCAGAGCACTGCTGCCACTGTAACTGGGCTGTTTGTGGAGAATCCACTGAATTTAATGGGACAAAACCTTGACAAGATGGTGCAGGCACAGAGGAGGCAGGATGTCTGCCTGAAGGAACAAGTTGGGTAGCAGAAATTCCATCCCAAGGAATGTTACCCTAAGTTATTTCTGCCTCAGCACATGGTCAGAGTGCTCCCAAGGTAAGGATGGCGCTGAAGCCAGTGACAGAGGAGGTACTGGATAACCCCTCCAACACCCCAGCCCTGGGTCACTCACACTGCTGTGAGGCAGCAGGAGGCGGGAAAATGGGAGGGTGGGAAAAGAGGAAGGTGGGAAAGTGTGAAGGTGGGAAAACAAGTCCTTCACAGGCAATCTCAAGCTGCCATGAGTCTGCTCTGACCCTGTCCGTGTGAAAACATGACCAGCGGGACACTCGCGCACAGCCCGGCTGCCCTGAGGGGAGGAGGAAGGCTGAGGGGCACTGAGGGGAGGCGGGCGCCATGTTGGGTGCCTGAGGGTCCGTGAGGGGACAGCCGGCCATGGCTGCTCCAGGTGGGTTTGCCCAGCCTGTGTCAGGCAGTGCTGAAGGGGTGTAAATGGAGCCCGGCTGCATGTGCAGGTTCACACAGTAATGCAGGTTCATACACCTCAGGGAGCTGAGATGCTCTGGGATTTAAATATGGAGGGCTGACTGTGTGGTCACAGCGTGAGGCACAAGGGTGCGAGGGGAGATCCTCCTCCTCCTCAGAAGTAATACAAAGCTACAAAGAAAAGTAATATAGACTAACATCTGCTGTCCACCACTCCTAACTCCCACCCAGAGCTTTATCCTGTGAGGAAACTATTGCAGTTGCTTTGATGGAGAGTCAGAATTGTGGAATAGCTTTAAAAGCATGGAAGAGGCTGTGATGAGCAGTAGTAGCTTTTGAGGCTACTGTGACTTCACAGAAAGTTGGTCTGAAGTTTTCACAATGAATCATTCGGATAACAAAACCTTGATTTTGTTTTCCTTGTTTCAGGTTCTGCAAAACCTCGGATTTGTGCTGATGTTTTTACTTCAGAGCTGATCCTAATGTCTTTCTTTTGAAGCATTTTAGTATCAGAAGTGTTCAAATGGCAGACCGAGAAAAGCTGGTACACAGGTAATGTACACAATTCTTATCTGATCTGTAGCTCTACATTTTAATTTCCTTAGTTTTTTGGGGTTTGTTTTTTTTTTTTTTAATCACAGTATGTATTTTACAACCGTGACTCTCTTGCTCTGAAAATAATTTAATACTACAACACAACTACTGAAATGAGGACTGATAGAAACATTACCAAACTCCATTCTGGATGATTCCCGTAGAATTCCTAATGAAGGCAATGTAGCCATGTTTTCTTAAGAAAAGGGCTGAATATGAAGGGTTAGAGAATAACTGATAGAGCCACAGGTTTTATAAATTTGACATATTTAAAAAGATTTTCTTTGAGTTTTAAGTGATAAATCTTTGTCCAACACTTTGTAAACATATTTACTGTGTTCATTCCAGCTATCAAATACAGCTGAGTGGGATCACATGTATTATATTTGGTATTACTGAAAGTGAGGTATTCAGTACTTCATTTGACTGCATCTAGGAAAAAATGTGCTTCTTCAAGCTGAACTCCCACTCATCTGGCTGGAATTTGAAGGCCAAGTGCCTTGGAAGTCCCATATAAAATCTATCTGTAATATTTCTCACTGTATCTCTTTAAGTACTTTTTATACTGTTAGGACGCCCATTTGGTAAGGAGAAGGAAATCAGATCAGGGAAAAATATTGAGGTACGGCTGAACTGTAAATTCTATAACAGCAATTGATCCAGGCCTTGATTTTGCCCTTTATAAATCACAAAAGTGGATCTAGATTTGGAATGAATAATTCTGAAATTCTGAGGCTCAGTTTGGTGTGGAATTAGAGAGTCCTCAAAAATCTAACCCAGGCCCTTGGGTAGGAAAACCCTTGGAGGCAGTCCTGGCACAGCTTGAGTCAGAGTGAGAGCTAAAGAACTAGAGGAACCTCCCGGGCACTGCAGTCACATTCACTGAATGATTATAGTTTAAACTTCTACAGGCTCTTTCCTGAATCTTTTCCTTAACAGATGCCACTTAAAAAGGCATTATTCTACCTACAGAATGTGCAAAGGAACTTGGAGACTGTAGAGACTTTGGGAAAGATGAAACTCATTGACAAGAGGGGAAAAAAAAGGTCAAAAGTGTAAAGGAGGGAGGAAAATGGCTGCTGTGAAAGACAGTTAAAACCACTGGAAATGTTTCCACCCCCACCCAGCGTCCTGGCTCCAGTTCTGTGTCAGTCATTTCTTTGGAAAAAGAGCCAGTCAGAGTACATTCCTGCTCAAGCCCCAGCGAGTGCGTTATAAAAATGGAGAGTAGCATGTAAATCATTCATGGGGACGGGGAAATAAATAACCCTTTATGCCCATATAAATACTTATCAGATGTTCATAAGGGGAATTTACATGGAGTTTTATTCAGTACTGTCAGCCATTCCTCTGTCTTCCATCATTCCTACCGTGAAGACAATTCAAAACACGGTGGTGGAGAGAGCAGCCTCTCCACCAGTTGATCTGCAGCACATCATGTAGAAAGCTCTGAACTTGCCCTTGGTACTGCTGTTATTTTTATTATGGCTCTTAGCAGAGTGAGATCATTCTTCCTGGTTTGCCTCCCAAGAAATAATGGGAAGCAGTATGTTTAGCCAGTGGATTGATTCAGTGATCTATTACTCTAATCCTGACTCTGCCAATCATCTACGGGGTGACTGCAGGCGAATCACGTCAGTTCTTTGTGCCTCTGTTTCCTCTCTGACCTCCTGCTTGTCTTGTTTATTTGGACTGTAAGTTATCGGGGGCAAGGGCTGCCTCTTGCTGTTTATGTGTATGTACCATGGCTGGTGCCCTGGGACCTCTGCTACAGCTTCATCTCCAAGTGGTGCTGCATGTAAATAATAACATTCAGCTCCTCCTCTGGAGGTCACAGAAAGAGACCGTATAAACTGTTGTATAAACAAAGTTGTATAAACTGGTGGCCAGCTGCAAGGACGTGAGGAAGAGCCCCTAATGTGAGCTCTTTTGCTGAGTGCTAAACAAGCACAGAGCAGAAAGGTATTCTCTGCCCCACAGATTATGATGTAAGGCCACTTTGGCCATCACAAGCTGTCCTGAGCACTCGGTGCCTGGATGTACAACTTTCAGACACTCAGGGACTGAGTCAAATGCAGTCATGAGGCGGATCCACTCTATGTGGCCAATGGAAACTAAGGGGCCTTACCTGGCCCAAAATTAGCCCAAATTACGTGATGCTTTATTGCATCTACTGTGAACAAGGGATACAACTGTGGAGCTCCTGCAGGCCAGTTGGAAAACTGTGGCAACCCAGCCTTGGGTTGTTCAGCTGAGCCCTCAGTTTATGGTTATATTTTCTAGAAGGACTAGGTTGAAAATTCTTTTGGTTTTTGGGTACTCCATGTAATGGCAGGATTCATACCTGTCAACAGGGGTGTACCAGGAATGTTTGTCATCTGTGGCAATACTGCCCCTTCCCAAGGACCCTTTTAGCCATCATTTTCGTTTCGAAGCCCCTCTTTTAGGTGCAGGAGTGAAACCAGAATTGGGTAAGTTTTGGTTATATTTGTCATTGCTTTAGTAGAATATTCTTTATGGATATCTTGGAAAATTTGTTAATTTTTTTTTTTATATATGGCTTTTTTTTTTTTTTTTTGATAGTCCCGATGCTTTTCCCAAGACATCTCAGATATCAGATTCTGGAAATCTCTTAAAGTGTCTGTTCCGTTCTGGTGGAGGTCAGGCATGGTGATAGGCTGTGAGTCCCATGATGGAGCCAGGATTGTGTTTGCTCATGCCTGGCTGATTCCTCTCCAGTCCCTGGAGAATCTAAAACATTAAAGTATGATCCTACATAGTGCTCCATCACTTCAGCATGTTGCTTTGTTTATGCAATCAGCATCATCTTTCAGAGACTCCTTTTAATTCTTAAGTGTAACCTAATAGTTAAGATCCATTTTGTTTTTTTAATCATCCAGTTCAGTACCGGCTACTGGTGATTCTGAAAACAAAATTTGACCCATCAGATGGGAACAAATAACAACTCGTGCCCCTTCCTTAAAAATGAAATAAGAATATTGAAATGGTAGACGTTGTATGATATTTTCCTAATGGGATGATTTATTAAAATTGGAGCTAGGGATGTTCAGAGGCAAAGGAAGCTTCTGAAATCATAGGGTGTAAGTATATTATAGAGCAATAATTTGGGTAATGTTATAAACCTGCTGAATGGAAATTTATGGAAGCAGATCCTACTAGTTTTAATGGGAGTAACATGCATAAATCCTTGTGCAAGAAGATTAAACTAAATTCTGCAGTTTTAATTATTGGTGACATCACTTTTTTATTTGTTACATGTCCTGCCTGTTAAGGGAGCCTTGGTACAACTGCTGGCCCACTCTTCAGGCAACTGGTGAGTAAAGGTTTGTGAGAGCAGCTAATGCCTCCCTTCTTTTGAGTCACCTCCAAATTGTGTGTTGATTTTATTATCCATCCTCTGTGAGTCTTGTTCACAGCCTGTATTTGTAATATTAAAAATATACTCCAAAATTAGACTGGAAAAAAATACTGCAAAATGAGCTAAAGCTGCAGTGAACTGACCTGTCAATACAGTGTTGTTGCCTATTGCTGCAGCACCTGGAATTGTACAAGAGGCAATACCAGCTCACAAGGTGTTGCCCACTCTCAGCTGACAAAAAAGGAGCAACCCAGAGTGTAAAACTAGGCTAGTTCTGTATTTCAAGAAAATAATGTAGGGAAACATCCTCAGTTTGCATAAATCAGAAATATTCCATTGAAAAACTTCAGTCAGCTTATTACTTCACATGAATTTTATGGGGCTACACTTCTTTCTGTCAGATGACAGCCTGCCTCTTCTCAATTGCCAAAGACTGACAATAGTTGAAAGCTAAAACATCTCTACTCCATGTATATATACATATATACTACAAAAATATTCTGTAAAGCAGACATAGAGTCAAACACTTTGAAAGAACTGGCTTGAAAGCTAAAAGCAATCTAAGCCTGAAATCCAAACTCTGATTAAATTTTAAATGTTTGATAAATAGCTTTTAAATTAATTGTGTATGTATATGTCTATGTGTGTATTTTATTTCTTGATATGTTTTTTATAATATCTTTGCCTAATATATGAAATAATTCTTACCTTTTTTCTGAAATCTGTGTATTTTTAATTTTAGTTTAAGTCTTGCAGAAAAGTAAATCAGCTGGAAACATAAATATAAAATACTGCAGTTAAATATAAAAAAATTAAGTACCTTGAATCAAAAATAGTAAGATCAATGCTCTGAAATTAGGAGAGGCTAATCAAAGTAAAAGTAACTGTGACTAAGCACTAGGAAAATATAAAGGGATTGACATATGCAGTAATAGGGCAATTAAATCCTCAGCTTTTTCACTGTGATGATTTTATGGCATCTTCTTACTGCTGCCAGTTTGGAAGCTGCCAGCAAATATTTTCTTAATTGCAAAAGGAGACAATATGTGTCCCACTGTTTCATTCACAACATTTGATTAAGTTAAAGAGGCTGCACTTCTATTCGAGAGAACAAAGAGTTGGAGATGGAAATAGCAAAGACACATTGTGCATTTGAAAAAAGATCCCAGGAACAAATGATTAACCAGAAATTTTACAGGAAAAAAAAAGTCTACTTGTCTTGACAGAATAGCCTGATCCCGTAATAAACCCTCCCAAAGTCAACAGTTCATAAAGTCTTTTGTTCTAGTAAAAGGGTCTTTAATTTTTAACACAAACTCACACTTTGGTATGCATGAGCTTAAGTAAAATTAGAAGACATGTATATAATAGGATTTAATGGATTATCATCTGCATTTTCCAAAGATGTCAGCTTCTCTCGGCTCTGATGGAGTAGCACTTAATGTAAATTTAATTTGAAGTGATGTATGGAGGGCTTGAGGTGGTACTCTGTGATTCCCTAACTGCCTGGAGAGGCTCTGTGGGTAGCATCTGGATTTGGCTGCTCCACATGCCCAGCAGCATCTACTAACTAGGATTAATGAGGTGGCCTGTTCACCAGTGATCCAAAGGAGGTATGCTACATTTACTCCCAACAATATGAATAGGAGGGCCAGTTTCCTTTGGGGGCACACTGTTTGATGAAACTTAATGATGGTCTCCAGATTAGGTGTAATAAATATACTGTATAGAAAGCACTTTTGCTTTGTCAGATTTAAATGTTATTTAATCATAAAATGGTGTTTGGCTTAGCAGGGCTCAGTTAAAGCTCATAATGGCCTTGGATGACATCTTTAAAGCTAATATTTTGCCTAAGTTGGGAAATAAAGTACCAACTTAGAAGATCTAGTATTTACCTTTGAGATAATTTTTTTTGGCTTATTTGGGGAAGGGAGGGAGGAAATCTCTGCTTGCTTGCAAAGTTATGAGATGGTCTTAAAAAATATCTTTGCTCATACCTCGCTGTGTTTATGTAGAAAGCAACAGCTATTAACTTTCAGGCAAAACTTCTCTGTGTGGTCTCAGCCTCATTTGTGCGTCAGAATTGTATTTTGCCTTTGTGTCTAACTGAGCATTGAATGAATTCTCAGCTAATTTCAAATTCCCTTTGTCATCATGGTTTTCAGCCAAAAGTCTATAATAAATGGTCAGAAGATGAGCTGAGACTGAATGAATAGTGAGTGGTATTCATCAGCCAAACATAGAGTCCAGATCCAATTATATGTATTCATTAAGTGATAATGATATCATGGTCTTTAACTAGGAAGAAAAGAGTGTAATTGAATAATAACAGTTGTACAATCCCAGCGGAACACACTTTCCATCCCAGCACAGCGACCCTCGGGGATGATGCAGAATTGATGGAATTCTATTACTCTTTGATAGATTTATTATGAAGGGCTGAGTGGACTTGCTACTCCACTTTGTCACTCACACTAATCAGTATCGTAAGGCCCCGAGCGTGCAGGCTTTTGTATCCCTTTGACAAAGACAAGGTTAGGGGAGGATGACAGACACCCAGACCTTTACAAACCCATACCACAAAATGAAATGGGCCAGCTGAGCTCTGAGCTGGGACAGAATTTTAATTTGTTTATCAATGGCTCACATGTGCAACACCATAAGGATATTTGTCAGAGGAGTAACACTGAAGCTAAACTCTTTTGTTTGGCAAGTGGAGCTTGGAAAAATATTTATTGAACTGTAAAAAACAGGGTAAATGAAAGGAAGGTGAAAAGTCTAAATGGAGTGGAAAATAACTTGCATTACTGTGCATAAAGTATGAGGAGGATGGGTATCTTTGTCTATTTTTGTTTGTTTCTGTTGAAGGAAATTTACTCACAAACTACAGTCTGATCTCTTGTTGATTTAGATTCTGGGGGGGACTCAGACAAAACAGTAGTGGGCGAAATGAATTTCAAGTGTTGTTTTTTATTGTTGTTTATTTATAAGATGCTTCCAGTTCAGGCAGATGGATTGCTCTTGTGCTTTTCCACTACTAAAAAACCAGCAAAGTAAATAAAATACCCTGGCCTTAAAAGCTGGAACTTGTAAATACAGTCTTGGATTTCTAAAAACAATCTTGTATGTGTTCAAGCGCGGCTCTTTCCCCTATCCATCGTTCCCATTCAAATGCAGGCAATGGGCTCTGTCAGCATGGTCAGTAGCTATCAGAGCCCGCTGGAGTCAGGCAAACAGACAATTTGTTGTGCTTCTGATCCGAGCAGGAGCTGCAACCAGCATTGGCATAAACAAGGCAGTGCACAGGAGCCTGCTGCCAGGGTTTGTTTTTTGTCAGTGTTGGTGAATGATAGATATTTCCATCCTTTTCTTCTCTCTGAATTGCTTTTCTCTTTCTTTTCTTAGCGTGGCATTTTGCATTCTAAGAGGCACTTGACAATTCAGTGTCTGGGTTCAGTGTCCCTGTCCATAAAAACAAATGTGAGCAGTGCTGTGTCCTGAGTGGATTTGCCATGGCAGTGCCTCTGTCCCCACTTGGGATTTGTGTGGAGGCAGCACAGTCAGCTGTGACTGCAGTAGCAACTGGCTGGGCTGGCGTGTGGACAAAGCAGGAGCAGGGATACCAGTGACCAGAGCAGAAAACATTTAGGAGAACATGAGTTTCCCACATTTTGTGCTGTGGATTCTCTCTAGGGCTTTTCTCCCACCAAAGCTCTTTTTTGTCTCTCCAGAGGCGCAGTTGTGGGGATGTGGAGCTTGGTGGCCCTGCTGGGTACATCTAAAAGGCAAACTGAAGGTGCATCTGGAGCATGGGAAGACCTGCCCACGCTGATTGTTATCTTGCCAACAAAATCAGTGAAGGGAAGATGACCCAGGTTTTACCATATGTGGCAATCACAGCACAGAGTCGCTGGCTGGCTGGTGCTTGGGGCTGGTGCCCAGTCAGAAGCTTGGTAGTGTATCAGCACTAAGTGTTTTATGTTTTGTCTCTCTTCTTTCCCCTGTATAAGTGATTTTGAGGCCTGGCAGAGGACTCTTGCTCTCTTCCAGAACCAGCCACATCCATAAACTCTGTGCTTACTGGGGTGCAGTGGATTTATTTGGTTAAGGTACCAGGGAGTGAGTGAATATTTCAGAATTGAAAATGATTGTCTGCACTGCAAATCAGACCTGCCATGACAGCAGCCCTTCCCTTGCATGGCATAGCCCTGTGTGTCCGTCTGGGTTGGGTGGAAGTGGCTTTCCCATGCAGGTATTTTTTTCACTTCTTCACCTTGCACAGCCATGGGAGTGATGAACAGATGGCAGCATTTTGCATCTGTTTTGCAAGAGGAAGCCCTGAAAATCAGGTTTCTTTTCAGTGCCATGTATTGTGGTGACAGCATGGGATGTCAAAGCCTGTTCCAGCCTCTCCCAGGGGCTGGCACAGCTGCCTGGGAACACCCACTTCCTGCCCTGCCCCGCCCCACTTTACTCCTCTTCCTCCGCACATGGTGATCAACAGGTGCAATCAGGTGGAAGAGGCCGTGCACCAGCACCGTTCCCACAAGGATGGATTCCTGCAGAACAGATGTCACTGCAGCTTCTGCTGCCTGCCCCGGTAAACCCAAAGTGTCTGCCCAAAGACCTGACCACCCTGCAGGAAGGACAGTATCTCCCAGGCAGATGGGCACAAGCCTGGGCAGGCCAGGGACCACCTGTGAGCAGGAAATACACTGGAGCTGGGAGTGTCACAGTGTCCTTCACTCCCAACACCTTCACCACAGTGAAAGAGCAATCCACCCTAGAGGGAAGTTAACTCTCCACAGCAAGAAGACGACAGCACAGAGCCAGGCAGAAGGGCTACCTGGAAGAAGTGTTTGAATGATGTCAACACTTCTGCTGCAGCCAATGCAGAGGAATAAATATGGAAAAGGCCAGAATAAACATCTGCAGTGTAGCAGAACGAATCGTGT